ATCACCTCCACCATTTCCTCAAAAAATATTGATATAACAGTTAGACCAACAATTCTCAAGATTTATAGAAGAATTCATGAAATTAACTATAAATATTCCATTTGCCAAGACATTAGAACAAATGCCCAGTTATGTGAAGTTTAAGAAGGAGGTTCTTGACGGAAAAAAATGAAGTTCAAGGATCATGCATTATCTAGTTTTATGAATGAGATAAGGAACTAATAATATATCCTATAGTTGTATCCTAAAGGAAAAAAAAATAGAAGATCACCTAAGACAGGAAGGTAATCTTGTAGATTTTGATCTAGAATCTGAATTATCTAAAGAGAATCTGATCCAAAATTTGTTAGATCTTGAATTATCACGTAGAGATCCATTTCTTATAAAATTTAAGGATGAAAGTAATATAGAAATATATTAAATTTTTGGAAGAGTATTAGATTTAGAAAGAAACTTGAGGAACAATAAATTAAATCAATCTGAAAAGAAAAGGCGGACTGAAAAATTAAAATTTGAGTATTTAGTACGAAACCCAGGATCTGAAAAAGATTGGGCAATTGATCAAGGATAACTTGAATGGAAATTTGCTCTGGGAGCAAATCCTTTGTCGGGCTAGGATGTTAAACTAAACACTTCGTGGGAGGCAACCCATGGTTATCAGTGTGATTTGATTTAGTATATTAAAGAGTCATGATTGTTAATGTTGTATTATGTTTGCTTTAGTGGGAATTGATCAGTTTGATTGATGATTTGTCGATGTTTGGATTGCTAGTGGTTTGATTTGATCTTTATGTATCATAATGAGGTGATTCTTTAACTTCTTATTATGACTAGACTTGTATATGTTCTCTTGTAGTAGTTGGATTGACCAGTCCACTACGACTCAGATCTCACCCAGACTTGAGTTTTACGGGAGGCATCTTGAGTTTGGATAAGGAAAGTTCCATCTGAATTCTGTTGCTTCCTTTCTCTAACCTTGTTTTCATTTAATAGGAGTCATGAACCAACTTGATGAGTAACATGTGGATGATCTTGCAGTATCTTTATAACTGTTAGACGTGCAAACCTAGTAGGATAAGGTGATGCCTGAGGTTGGTGTTCGCGACCCAACTTAACAGGGGTAATCTTGTCCATGTGGATGACCATATAAAATTCATGGAAGACACTTAATATATTTGTGTAATGATTCCATTAGAAATTAGAAGTAAGGTGGTAATATGCAATGAGTTACAGGATGAATTAACCTCATTTATCATGTGTGTTTATGTTTGTATTTTATGTTTATTTTTGTTTTACAAATTTATATAAGACTTGAAAAACATTTTTTATATTCTTATGTTGATAACTCTTATGCTAGTTAGACTATTGTTTAGTCAATTTCAATCTAGCATGTTTACATCTCATTATTTTTTTATTATTCTATTACTAAAAATTACATATATCATTTTTTGATAAGTCGCATCTGTACTTTTATGTAAAAGAGATTGATAACTCACATATGTACTTTTATGTAAAAGGGAATTACCTTATAAATATACACACTAATTTTTTATAATAAAGACATTCTTTTTAGAATCAATAAAGTGCATCTTGATTTAATGCCATCTAAAGATCATGTCTAAGAAACTCATAGTTGAGTAGCTAACAACAGAGTTAACTACTTCTTCTATCTGAGGCAGCTGATAACTATAGTTTAGGCAGGTTGAGTTTAAATAAACAAAAATTTACACACATGCAACTTTTCAATTGACTTTGATAATATTATTGTATTTGTGATCCAATCAATATATTATAATTTCTTGATATACCAATGCCTAACAACTTCTATACTTCTTAGAGAATTAACTCGGTAATAAGTTGAGCTCATGAATTGACAAAAAACTGATTAAAAGTGATGTTAAGTTCGACTATAAGCATTATTCACTGTTAAGCAGACAAACACATTTTATACTTAGGGAGAACCATGATTACTTCTCTCCTTCGTTCCAAATCGAAAGCAATGCTAAGTCTAAACACTTTTTTCAGCTCTTCTTATATAACCACAATTTTCACTATAACTTCATTCAACTTCAGACTATTATCTCTTTGTATATCAAGATGTAGCTCTTTATATACATTACTCACAAATTATGGGTAAAATCTAAATCTCCTTGGATAATGATCACTTTTCATCATTTAGAAAAAATGTAGTATAACATTGAAATTGACATTACTGCCTTAAATCTACTAAGATGGGATAATCAAATATATCAATATAGGACGACCATAAATCTACCACAATGAAATCAACCATGATGGTTAATCCTCCCCCCTCCCAGTTGATTGGTAGGGTGATGACTCTCATAGTCTCCTTTCTTTCCCTGAAGAGGCCAAATAAAGATCCCGTGGTTAGGACATTATATGAAGATTCCAAGTTCATCTTATTGTAGACTCTTTAAAAAGTAATAAGTGAACTCCTCATGTATATAAGAAATTGATAATTTATGATTAATGTGTAACTACAATGGCGTTATTATAAGAATTTACATTAGTGGACATGTCATATTCAATGAAAGATAATGATTGAATGGCAGGGATGGACTCATCCAGATCTGTGCCACTTAAATCTTGATTCGAGAGACACTTCTGGTTCGTCCCTACTTGGAATAATTGCAACTACCCTTGCTATATCAATAGTTTGTGTAGTGACAACCTTCTTGTTACTTTTTTGCATTGGGACCTTCCCTTGTCTCTTGGTATTTGCCTCCAGCGTGACAAACTTAATTCAGTCTTCGTCAGCTCCTCAATTGAGTTTCTCAAGTGTCTACATTTTTTAGTGTCATATTCATAGTTGTGATGATATACACAATGCTTTTTCTAGTCAAATAGAAGTCCTATGATCTTTAGCAATGTTAGATTCTAGAAATACTTTTTGTGTTTTCTGGCTTCTACTACTTTGGCTATCGAAACTTACAAAGCAGTTTAAATAGGTAACTAATGTATAAAAGTGGGCGAACCTTTTTCAACCCAACGATAAACTCAATTTTCTTCATATTGAGTTCTCCCTCTTACAAGACAAACCTGTCACTCTTGGAAATGGGCTCTCTCAAAAGGGACAAATTAGATGCTTCTTAAAGCTCAGCCTCATCATATGACGTACAAGAAGAATTCTTTACCTCTTTTTAATTTGGCTATATCATCTCTTCATTGAGTACAACTCGTGGTGCTTTATAACAAAGATGTCAGACAAAGAGCTATATCTTGAGTGGATATTGTTGGTGAGTTCCAACAATTTAGTTGAACTCTTCAGATGCTACACGCTAAGGGAGTACCATAAAGAACCTTTCCTTAACCCTTGTGCAAGTACAACACATGTGACTGTTGGTTTATGATCTCCGACTTCCAACATCTTCCTTTGGAAGTAAATGATGAAGGCTCTTGGGATTCTTTGGGCTCCTAAAAAATTTGTAACAGTGCTTGTGAGATCTTCTAGAAAATTGTGTTAGAAACATGCTTTAATTCATCAAATAAGTATCGAATCCCAATGGCAAGTTGTTGAGCAAGCATAATGTTGATTCTTTCAGGGTCACGAAATTATACAATACTTCAAAGCATCATTTATTCTAAGCAAACATATTATTGATTCAAATTACGGGGTATTGTTAGTAGATTTAGATCCACTCCTGAAAGATTCTAGGAAAGGAATCTTGAACCTCTCCAAGGCCTCAACATTGATAATTTATCTGGAGAACGCGTTCTCCAGCATAGGCCGCCTCAAAGCCTCAACTAGCATTTTCTCTCTTCGATAATCCAAAGGAAAGAACCGACAAAATTAGTATGGTACATTTCATCATCGTTCGTAGGAGAAAAGGGTAGGGTTTTCCTCGTACCAACACTATGTACAGTCCTCCTTATTGCCGACTTCAACAAAGATGAAGGCACATGTACTTGCGATGTTACTCTTGGCAAGGGCTTTAGGATCTCATCTTCTAGCTCCTTAATTTTTTTCACAATGAACATGTTATTGCATTTCATATTACTTGAGATTTTCTTGTTAGATAACTTTACTCCTTGTAAATCCTCTTGTTGTCTATGACATGATCCATGCTCACTGCACTTTTTAGTGTTTGGTCCTAATTTGTCCCTAGAATCACACCACCAAATAATGAACTAAAAGGACAAAATGTTAGAGCTAAAATAATAGGTAAAATTAGATAATTTTTCATATTTTTACTAAACGGGCCTCCCCCCATTGTATAGGAATGATCCCCAATTTTTTGAGGGATTAAAATATATGTTATAAATAAAATAATCATTACACAAAAATCCTAATATATTATCTTAATATCCTTTGTGCCTTCTTCTGACATGAGTCTTATTTATCTTGGTAGTGCCTTATTTGGGTAACCGTTCTTTATAAAACATCTTCCCTCAAACTTACGTTCAGTAACACTTCCGTCGGTCAACTCGATCATGAGACGAGTAGAGCATCTTTATCAAGATATCGAGCAACCTCGTTCTAGTTGAGCATCTATTCATTAATCATAGATGAGCTAACATGTATCACTCTCGAATCTAAGTTAATTACTCAAACTGATAAAGCAAAATTATCTAGCCAAAACAATGAGCTAACGCTTTAGACTAATATTCATTGTGTATTCCTTAAGAGTTAAATGCTTCCTTTTATGTGAAAGTTTGAGTTATTTGCTTTTGGTTTTGGGATGATACCAGGTTCATTTACTCTGAGAAGCTCTATAATAATATGAGCAAAGAAAGCCTGAGTTGCATGTCACAATACCTGCTTGGAAAGATGTGATAATCATCTCAATTTAAATTACAACCAATGGTGGGATTCTTTTTAAGACATGATTGCACAATAAAGAGGGAACAATAAACAAAATCAAGCTCTTCCATAATGCTTTATATTATGTGAAGGTTAAGAAAATAATTAATACTTCAAGGCATGTTTAACTAAAAGATATTTACATGAAAACAAAAAACAGGACTTATAATTTTTGTTTTCAAACTCCCTCTTCTTTAAAGCATCAATCTATTACAACTAATTTGATTTTCTTATTCTGACAGAAAGGGATCTGAAACAATTTTATTACAGCATAATAACGATTGCAGAATTTCACACAAAAGGCCCTTTCCATTAGGGTGCATATGGTGTGCTGGCTTATATATTTCTATATTGTGCAATATCCAATCTTTACAATCTCATGCAGTCTCAAACCTATCCTAAAAAACAAAAGAAAAGGAAAATCTAAAACAGAAAAAAAGAATCTAAATATCTCACCTAATCAAAGCCTCAGGGCCTCCCTAAGCCCAAAACTCCTATTATTCTTCAAGCCTTTTTTGCCAAAACCAGTATTACCCATCTGCATCATTGCAACAAATTCATTATAATCAATGCGACCATCCTGCAAAAAAAACAATTACTAATCAGTACAAGAAAGTTGCTAACATAAAAATGAAAATGTTAAAGCAAAAAATAGCTTACGTTGTCTTGATCTACTTCCTGGATGATGTCCTCCAATCTGATATCCTCAATGCCAAACTCTTCACAGGCCTGTTGCAGCTCATCTCTAGTTATGTAACCACTGCTGTCCTTGTCAAAATAGGAGAAGGCCGCAAATAGATGGTCTTCCCTCTCGATTTTATTTAGATGTAAAGTTGCAGCTATGAACTCGCCGTAATCAATAGTACCACTATTATCAACATCAGCCTACAAAGAATAGACGCCACAAAAGCGATCCTTTTTTCACATTTTTGTTCATTTTATATGAAGCATTAAATAAATAAACACTTAAGTCTCATATATTCTCAAATATAAGTGTAATCTCCATATGTTTTAACTGAAAGAATTTAGGCACCTTTGGTTAACATTAAATTTTGCATAACATCAAATTTTGCATCTTTTTCTAAACGTTGGCAGAAAGACTTAGTTATTTTTTGAAAAATCCTTAATATATTGCCTGTCGAAGTCAGCATATCCTAACAAACTTCTAACCCCTCTAGCTATAATAGGAGGCGGTAATTTATCAATAACTTGTATTCTGGCTTGATCCACTTCCATATCACTTTCAGAAATTTTATGCCATATGTTTTAACTATCACATAAGGGTAAATTGAACTCAGCCCAATTAGACTCCAGTGAGAAAACTTCTAAGATATCCTCAGTTTAATATAATAAACATCATAAATATATCAGATATTTGAAATGAAGACTTACGGCTTGCATGAGAGCATAGATTTCTGACTCCTCCATATTTGCACCTACTCTTTCCAGTCCAGCTTTAAGTTCTTCAAAGGTTATCTGACCACTGTTGTCAGTATCTATCATCTTGAACATTTCTTTCAGGCCAGCAATTTCATCCTCAGAGAGACTCTCAGCTATTATCTGAAGGAAATAAATTCATGAAAATTTGAAAGCAAAAAGTTTTAAGCCATAAAAAATAACGTTCAATTGATAACAACCAAGTGCACACAAATTTGTCATTAATATAATTACTTAAATCTGATTAGCCGTATAGCTAATTTTTATTACATTTCTGATGTGGACCTGTAAAAGCTGGACAGTAATAGTTCCTATTCTAAGCCTTTAGCATTTAGATGTTTGTTATGCACTTAACTGCGCAAGAGTTATGCAGGGTAACTTGTGGTCTTTTTACTATTGCAGATTTGTGTAAAATCAACATTAAAATTTAAGCTTTTTTGGGAATTGAACCGTGCTCATCTTGGACTGGCTATATCTATTAACCAAGGAGTGAGGAGCCTATAAATAAATAGTCTAAGGAATGGAATATAGCAATGCTAAATAGATAAATTTTTTTAATCATTTTCAATATTAAGCATTTAAGTTGAAGGGTAGGTTCCTTTGAGTAGGGTCTAAGTGCAAATTAAAATTCAAGTTTTTTTCGGAATTGAGCCATGATCATCTTGGACTAGCCATATCTATTAACCGAGGAAAGAGGAGACTGGAAAAATAGTCTAAGGAATGCAATATAGCTATTGCTAATTCAATAAATTTTTTAATAATTTTTAATATAAAGCATGTAAGTTTAATGTTAGGTTCCTTTGAGGACGGTATAAGTGCAATTATTGATTTCATAGGATGCCATCGTATCATAATGGCATGAATTTTTCTTTACCTAACTTCTTAGCGGTCCCTCCTGATTTTGTTCAGATCGGATATAAATTTCAGTTGCTTGTAGAGTATACATGTTTTTATTTCTCATTGATTTTCTTCAACTATAGCGTTTTCATTTTGGTTTTAAGTGTCATATGTAATTTTTTACATTAATAGAAATTTTTTTTTGAAATATTTAGTGATATTTAAATGACGAATCCTAAATGCTCTTGTGTGAACTACATGTATTGCATCATTCTAACTGCATTAGAAAACCGATAACTTTAAACAATCATGTATCAACCGTGTGAGTGTATAAGCGCACGTGCACGCTTGTGTGTGTGTGAGACAATAGACTCACTCTATTTAGATAATAATTGTACATCAAGCAATATTTAATATATTGTTCTTCAATAATTAAGCAAAATTATGCTTGGAAAAAGTTTATATAAATCATGTTTCAGGTTGAAGAACAAGAACACCAGAAGATAAATTAAACTTTTGAAATTTTCATTTTTATGAAAGCTATCATGGGATATACACAAGTTGAAGAAATAAACAGAATCACCATATCAAACATTAGGGGTCGTTTGAGGGTGCAGCCAGCCTCCGTCGTGGTGTGAACAAAGCAGAGGAATGGAAATTTGTTTGTTTGGATGACATCCCTCCCTTAGCTTCGCATCCAATGGAAAGCCCTCACTGGCAAAAATTCAAATGCGATGTATGCGAAGCAGTTGGACCCATGTTCCACGGTAAATAAGTGAAAATTCCATTTTATCCATTGAATAACCGTCGCTCTAGATTTGAAGTCGAGTTGAGGGAGAAAAAAGAAAGAGGGATTTCTTACATTGTTCTTTGCTCTTTGAGATGTACAGTGACTTCATCTCCCGCTTGATTGAATAGTGAGAAGCAGGAGACTGGTTTGCTTCCTTCTTTCTCGATCTTTTGCAGCCAAAAAGGGTGAAGTCGGAGAAGAACCCAAACGTGAGATGTGGGCAAGTTGAAAGATTGGGTTATGCACTTGGGAGATTCCATTGAGGAGCTAATGAGAGAGATTGCGAGAGATGAAGGGTGTGGGGAGGAGAAGCGATGGTGTAAGAAAGTACTTTAATTTTTTAGCATCGCTCTAGATAAAAGGCCCATTTTATCCATTAAATAACTGTCACTCTAGATTTGAAGTCGAGTTGAGGGAGAAGAAAGAAAGAGAGATTTCTTACATTGTTCTTTGCTCTTTGAGATGTACAATGACTTCATCACCCGCTTGATTGAATAGTGAGATTCAGGAGATTGGTTTGCTTCCTTCTTTCTCGATCTCTTGCGGCCAAAAAGGGTGAACTCGGAGAAGAACCCTAACGTGAGATGTGGGGAAGTTGAAGGATTGGATTCTGCACTTTGGAGATTCCATTGAGGAGCTAATGAGAGAGATTGGGAGAGATGAAGGGTGTGGGGAGGAGAAGCGATGGTGTAAGAAAGTACTTTAATTTTTTAGCGTCTCGTTAAAAGAACGACGATCCAAATGTTAAACTCTTATTACGGACCAAAGTTTTAAAGCACTACTTTTTAAAAATTTGCTTTAAAATTGAATTCCTAAAACGGTAAAGCACTCGCAAACGAGGCCTTAATCTCCTTCCAAAATAATTGATGTTCTTCATTCATTATTACTGAGGTGAAATATGGTGTTAAACCTAATTCCCACAAGTCTACCTTCACTAAATGAAGCCAAGTAATAATTAGCCACCACATTCTCTACCCATGCCTTTCTCATTAATTAGAGCTCAAAGAGTTACTGATTTCTTTTGTACATTTAGTTGTGTAATCTCAAACAAAATCTATTTGCTCTATCCAAAAAGATATAAAGCTCCATCAATATGACAAGAATAAAGTATCAAAATTGAATGTTTAGTCTCCTTTTTAGTTTAATCAGCCGATCATGTAGCAAGTATATCATATATTTTTCCAAAAATTGGTTGAAAATTTATTTAAAATCTATTGGTGTGTGCTAGGATTGACACATTTCAAGAAGCAGTGGTAATTTTTTTGGGAATATTTACAATCTATATATAACTAATCCCATTCATCATATCATTCTCACATATTCCTGATTTGTCTGTGGATTCACACCTCAAAGAGATAGGAAAGAAGAAAAAAATAAATTAGACAAAGGAGGATTATTATTTTTACTCGTGAAAATTTGGATTACACTGTTTCCAATTGTCTGTCCCTCCTTTTTCTGTGGTTCCTTTTTTGCAATGTACACCCCTATTTATAAAGAATTTTGGCTTATACATTGCAACTAAAATATTTACTATAGACAAATTTTAAGGAATCTCTAATCTATCCTCTCTGTCTTCTCTTGGTGTGAGGCATATAATTAATGTTATCCCTCTTTGTAACCATTCATCATAAATGTTCATTCTTGACATTTTAATTCTGGTAATATTCCAGTCAGCCAGTTTGGCCATGGAATGAGTTCTATATGAGAATTGTTATAGGAAAGCCATTATTGGGAGAGATTTTTTTCTGAATGTCTGTTGAACGAATTTAGCTTTTCTCCTGGACAAATTCAGCTTCTGGATGAATTCAGCTGTTAAACGAATTGAGCAATTCTACTTGGTGAGTTTAGCTCCTAGACGAAATCAACTGTTCTCCAGGATGAGTTCAGCTAGAAAAATTTAGCTGTTGGATGAATTCTGCTATTTTCCTAGACAAATTCAGCTTATGGGAGAGGCGTTCTGAGAGAGCTATTTTTCTGAAAGAGTTTAGTTCCTGGACAGATTCAGTTGTTCTCCAAGATGAGTTTAGCTACCGGATAAGCTATGTTCTTGGACAAGTTCTGCTGTCGAATGAATTCAGCTGTTTCTCTGGATAAGTTCAGCATCTAGATGAATTTAGCTGTTGTACGAATTGAGCAATTCTCCAAGGCGAGTTCAACTCCTGGACAAATTCAACTGTACTTCTGGATGAGTTCAGAGCTCTTGGGCAAATTTAGTAGTTGGATGAATTTAGTTATTTTCCTGGACAAGGTCATATAATATACTAGACAAGTTCAGTTCTTCTGGAAAACCTGACTGGTCATGCAGCTTGAACTTGATCTAGAGGCATTCGATCAAACAATATTCATGTAAAATAATACTATTAACACTAATAAAACTTCTCTCTCTATCATAAATGCATGTTCAGTAGTCTATTCTTCTTTCTTAAAAACAAATTTTCATGTTTTCCCTATTCGTACTCAAGTAGCATAGGCACCTAATATGTTTTAGGCCTTCTTAACAAGAAGAACTAAAATATTATCGCTTTATCACAATACTAACCTCAATAATTTTAATTTTCAACTTGGTAACTACCATTAGAAGAAATCCATTAATATGATTTTTCTTCCTTTATAAATCAACTTTATTCAAAGTTGCAATTTTTTTGTGCAGTGAATCTAATCTAACTTCTTAGGAGGAAAACCTTATTTAGTCACTTTATATTCATGTAAAATAATACTATTAACACTAATAAAACTTCTCTCTCTATCATAAATGCATGTTTAGTAGTCTATTCTTCTTTCTTAAAAACAAATTTCCATGTTTTCCCTATTCGTACTCAAGTAGCATAGGCACCAAATATGTTTTAGGCCTTCTTAACAAAAAGAATTAAAATATTATCGCTTTATCACAATACTAACCTCAATAATTTTAATTTTCAACTTGGTAACTACCATTATAGGAAATCCATTAATATGATTTTATCACAATACTAACCTCAATAATTTTAATTTTCAACTTGGTAACTACCATTATAGGAAATCGATTAATATGATTTTTCTTCCTTTATAAATCAACTTTATTCAAAGTTGTAATTTTTTTGTGCAGTGAATCTAATCTAACTTTTTAGGAGGAAAACCTTATTTAGTCACTTTAACAAATGATTGTGACTAATTTATTGGTGACCGAAATGGACCAAAATTTAATTTACAAATATTCCTATTCATATTAGTTTTTGATTTATTGAAGCCTAGCCAACTTCTCGCCAAAAGTGTCAAGTTGTGGCTTGGTAATTCCTGAAAAAAAATAAAACAATCCTTACCTAGTTATTATACCTTCACTATTTTTACTCTTCGCCCAAATAACAAGGCAAATTTAACAATTTGATTTGTGAAATCTCTTAAGTAGAATGAAGCTAAACTCTTAAACATCAAAGTGTCATGTGGTGTAACGGTAGAATTTCATTAGAAACTTCAAAGTTAAGTGTGCTCGTTCTGGAGCATCCCTAGGACGGGTGACCTCATGGAAAGTTACACCAACAGGGTAAAATCATAGGACCACTAGGGTAAAGCAGATAATGCCTTGATAGGTGAGAGTTTGGGCTGTCACAAATGGAATCAGAGCATTACACCAGCTGAAAGATGAGAACTAAATGCCATAATGAAATAAGTGTTATGCCATGAGAGCCATCTCTTGGATCCGTAGGAGCCACCTCTATAGTCCTATTTGCTTGGTGGATGATTTTGGCTATAGAAAACTGACCAGGATGTCAGTTACATAAGTGGGGGATAATCTGAAACCCCTTAAGTAGAATGAAGTTGAACTCTTAAACATCGAAGCTTTTTTTAGGGTTAACAATGGAATTTCATTAAAAACTCCAAAGTGTGCTCGTTCTGGAGCACTTCTAGGATGGGTGATCTCTTAATAAGTTACAACAACGGGGAAAAACTGAGAGGCCACTAGGCAAAACATACAAAACCTTGATGGGTGAGAATTCAGGTTGTCACATGATGTGAGAAATTCGAAGTACTAACAAGGGGGAACACTAAGAGAAGATATATTTTGTATCTAGTCAAATGTTGCTATTAGTGGATCACAAGAAAACTATAATATTTTTTATATTTAAATATGTTCATGAGCTCAAAACAAATAGTTAAAATATTTGGCAAATTTTGCCATTATAAACTGATAACTCTCAAAAACTTACTCTAAGAGCCATCTTTTTGAGCTTGTTCATTGCAGAGAACTGCTTCAAGCGAGATAAAACTGCAGAATCAAGAGGCTTGTCAGGAGCCACGCCATTAACTTGCACCCATGGGTGGCCTGTAAAATATTATTCATGTGAAAATTAAAAAAAAAAATCATTGATGCTCTCATTAAACATCATAATTTTCCAATAAAAGTTTTAAGCAGTTGCTAAAATAAAAACAAATCATACTATCAAAAGGGGCAAAGATAAATATGTTTTCACAACAGAAAAGTTCAATTGATATTCTTCGTTTGTAAGTATATGCATATATTGACAACTAAGTCATTTGCTGCTGACCGAAGAGGCTGAAATCTTATCATTCATATTTCTTTTAAGGCTTACTTTATTCTTTCCCCAATTCCAACCAAAGTAAAATGAAAATAAAATAAATAAGACAGGGCCATGACTACGATAAGTAAAGAATAGAAATTTTTTTAATTACTTGTAAAATTATTTAAGATTACAAACTCACATAGAACTTCATGAGCTTTCAACCTCATTTTAGGATCTCTTACAAGCATTCTCTTCACAAGATCTTGGGCACTATCTGAGATGCTAGGCCATGGATCCGACTCAAAATCAAGCGCACCATGCAGAACCTCTTCAAAGATGCCATCCTCATTTTCTGTACATTTTCAAACCAAAAGTGCATGAAATCGCTCAGAAGAGGAAAACATAAAATGAAATTGTATCAGAGAAAGGTAGTACCTGCCCAAAAAGGAGGAACGCCACTAAGAAGAATATAAATAATCACCCCAGCACTCCAAACATCTGCCTCTGGACCATAATTTTTTCTCAAGACTTCTGGTGCAACATAGTATGGACTGCCAACAACATCAGCAAACATTTCCCCTGAAAGGAAAAAAATAATCCAATCAATCACAGTCAAAGAATGGCACACAAATACCAAAAAATGATGACCTGGAAATGAAGATGGAAACACTGCACCCCAACAAAAAAATAAATAAATAAATAAAGGGGCATTTACGTACATAGCACACAACTCTTATGAATTTACATTTCTCACACCTAAGCTTTCATATTTGCAAACATAGCACTAAAATCTTTAATATCACATCAAAAATAGCACTATTACCACTCTTAAAAAGTGATATACACCTTTCCATGCTTAGGTTTAAAGCACCAAAGTATTATAACAGTAGATACGAAAATGCATAAGAATTCTGGGCTTCCTATGCAACTTTCCCTTAAATAAAATATAATAAAGTCAGAAATATAGTAAGTTGCATGTGTGGTCAGCTTCGTGTTCATATGATAAGGTGGCCAAATAATGGACTATTTTATTGTCTATCTCAAGTAGAAATTAAGTAGAAATATTCATTAACATGCCAACAGTGTGAATGACTGTTTCATTCAATGTCAGAACATAAGCTAAAGCAACCTTTTCTCCACTAACAGCAAAGAAAGCTATGGAGGCATTTTGAACTATATATTCTGTATCTTTTTTTATCGTTGTCATGCTGAAAAGTTTATGTTGCCAAAAAAATATAAATAGATTTCTGGAGAACTCACACAAAACCCTGTTATAGGCTCACAAACATCATTGTCGTCTATCTGCAAATGAGAAAATCTAGCATATGATGCAAAATATCAAGTATCCTACATCGGTCTATCTCCTACATTTTGAATCTAGAGCTTCAATTATAATTTTTTATGACTAAAAAGACATCATACCATTTGTGCTGTGAAATCTTTCTGGCTTTGAAGGAAAAGATCTTGTATATTAGCAACTAGTGCAAGAATTTTGAAAGAATAATTTTATTAAACAAAAGATTCATATCCTCCTCTTTCTTTTGATAAAAAAATTGGCTTAAAGGTGGTGGCATGCTTAACTTCTGAATTAGTGATATATATATATATAAGTCTCGACAGATAAATTAGGCTTCAAAGTAGCTCGACTCATGCAGTAGAATTGCGGCTTGTGTGCTTTGGACTGGGCATGGAAAGCTAAGCCAGTGGCTGCTGATGGAAACAAGGGCAACCTACTGGGAAAAAGAAGGAAAGTGAAGAGCGAAGTAACGAAACAGAAAAAGAAATGACGGGCGAGAGATAGATAATGAAGAAGAAGAAAAACGTTTACCAACACTGTGCTAGCATAGGGATCTTTGATATATAGTGATGATTCAAAAAAATACAATGTACCCTTTAAAGGAGCTTTCAAATGGAGAATTTTTGCATTAGTTAAAGATTCTTTGTTTATTTTCTCTTATGCTTGGTTAGAGATATTTAGGGCCTTCTCTTTTGTGCTGAGATCAAATACATTTTAGTCGGGGGAATATTGATACACAGTGCCGCATTTATTTGCATACGTGTGGCTTTTCAATAGTGGATCATATCCTCTCTCCTCTCAGAAAATTTCTTGAAATATAGCAAACTTCTGTTGATCTAAAACCATATTGAAACAATCGAACCAAATTATTGTTTGGATTGGTTCGGTTCTGCATTTTGTTTCGTCCATTTATTTCAAAATTTGGGGCCTTTAAAACTGATTTATTATTCAAATTTGTCAGCCAAACTGTCCAAATTATCAAAATGCACACCTCTAGGCTCAACTTCATCAGAAAGCAAGTTAGCCTTAGAACTTATCAATTGCAGACAGAGAATAAAAGAAGTGTCAAAGACTCATGAAAAGATTTAAGAACCATCTTCCCAAAAGAAAAGGAAAATTGCTTTACATTTCTTATTTCTAATTTTATTTTGTACAACATTTTCTAAAAAATTCATGGTCACAAGTCACTAAATACAAATTAAAAAAATTTGATGAGTCCGCCGAATGTCTAATGCAATGGGTGGTGAGTTAGATATTGACTACTTAAGAAAATTGCCAGTCCCTAGTCACATTCGGGAAACTCACCACATTCCCAAAAGCATACTCAGAGAACTCACCACTCATAGGTAGTTTAATAGAATACATGAGAACAAATAAAAATAACAGTGAAAGCCAAACATAAAATTTTATATTGGTAAGCATGCCAAAGTTTGATGTAGGTTGCCTTCAGCCACAGAAAAGCGCTAAAAACAAAATTGGAAAAATTTAACCCAAAAGAGGAGCACTTCAAAAATTATAAAATGGATAGGTAGGTTTGAGTTTAGAGATTAAGGTGCTTAAAGCTCAGAATCAAGCCTAAAATTGCGAGACTACTCCATACAAGAGGTAGAAGAATGCCTGTGCTTGGTGAGGACACCTTTTTATCCTTTAATTTGAGGATTATTCAATACTCTATGCTACAAAAAAAGGTGAGACCCATAAAATAGATTATTTGATACTTTGGACGGTTTGGTGTACACCATTAGATTCATACCTCTAGACTCAAAATGCACACCTATAGACTCACCTTTTACCAAAGTATCAAAATGCCAAAAAAAAAAAAAAAAACCACTAAATTGATTATGATATAGCTTTCACTCACTCACCAAATCTTAAGCATTGACTCTCAACTCTCATTCATACTAAAAATTATGGACTTAAAATCGTCACTCTTCTGTTTGTACAGATTTATACTAAATATCACATGAGTTCACACTATTTGATGAGTTTAGATGGTTATCAAAGCCAAAAACTAATTTTTGGCAAAAGGTGAGAGCCATACTAGATGATAACTTACAAAAGGCGGGCCAAAAGAGGAAGGGCAAGCAAAACTTGACATGATTGCTTATTACTCAATAATTTATTCACTCAAATATTCAAACTTGTATTTGCTCGGTAAAAGTTAATAAGTTATAGCAATTTATATATTTTCACTTCGAGAGCTCTCATGGTGTTTCTCATAATAAAAATAGTAATTTGTACATTTTATACTAGAATTACTAAGCTTGGCTTATTATGAATTCCTTGCTATCAAGTTTTTCTGTTTACACTTGTTGCATTAATCTTGCTCGCTAACTTGGAGGATCACCCAGCTCAAAACATGGCATTGAACTGATAAAATGAGAGGTTCAAAATTCAATGATTCGGGGTTGAACCGAACTGATAAAATGAGAGGTTCAAAATTCAATGATTGAACCGGGGTTGAACAGAATGACCAAATAAATTATAAAGATATTTAAAAATGATAATACATAAGATTTATATCCCACTCAATTCAAATGTATTTAAATAACTAACATCTAAAATTCAATTTTAACATATGCCAATTTATCTATGCATGAAAACATGTATTTCACTTTTTAAAAATTAAAATTGTGATATTTTTTATGTGATACAGATAATTTTGATGGTATAAATGTAAAATAAAAAGAAATTAGGTGTTAAATAATAAAATAAATAAAATTGAGCGGTATGAATGTAAATTGAATTTATTTGTAACAATGATTTTATTGATGTAATATGAGCGATTTGGGTGGTATATATGTACGAGATAAAGTTTAGGTGTAAGATATGTAAAATAAATAAAATTGAGTGGTATGTATGTAAATGCCCGCAAACCGAATGGTTCCTTAGAAAAGGAGTCGGTTTGTCGGTTTAGGAGTTGAACTGTTGGTTCAGCCCGGTTCTAGGCGATTTTATGCGGGACAGGACTTTTATGCCAACAGAAACTAAACCTATGGTCAGCTCACAGTCGAACCAGTTGAACCAACAGGATCAGTCAGGTTTTCTAAACCATGGTTTAGATGGTTATCCAAGTGAAAATCTAAATGTTGGCAAAAGGTGAGAGCCATACAAGGTGATGACCTACAAAATGTGGGCCGAAAGAGAAAGGGCCTGCAAAACTTGACATGATTGCTCATTACTCAAGAATTTATGCACTCAAATACTCAAACTCGTATTTGCTCAAATAGTTGTGAACTGTAAAAGATAATAGGATATAGCAATTTCATAAATCTTTTCACTTCGAGAGCTCCATAGTCTTTCTCGTAATAAGAATACTAAAATTGTGTATTTTATACAAGAATTACTATAAGGATTACCTAGTCTGCTTTATTATGAATACCTTGTTATCACGTTATATTTACACTTATCACATTAATCTTGTTCACTAACTTGGAAGGATTCCCAACTCAAAACATAACATCCACTAAAAATGTTGTTAACAATTATATGCACAAATATTCTCATTCATAAATTTTTTTGAGGTTACAAATTTTTTTATAAGGAAAAGTGTGATAAAGGCTCAAATTTTAGTTGCTCTTGTTCCATCAAGACTCTGCCTCAAAAGATGTATCTGTCATTAATTGGTAAAAGTATGTCTTATTCTAGTATTTCTCAAAATCATCTCTGCAAAACACCAACATCTCTAAGCAATAGTCAATGTCGATGCCATATTTTTTGGTAAGTATGTTCTTAATACACAACAGCTCTACGAACGTTGCAAATTCTAAAGAGCTTTTCTTTTACTTTTCATACAAACACAATACTCAATCCTTGGTATATTAAACTTCCTCCACATTGTATTGTTCAACATGCTTGACAATGACTTTCACCCGAGAAATAAAGTCATACAACTTGTCAAAATATTTATTTGGCCGCTCGTTCATTGTTGTGAAAGAGGTCAACTTCTCAAATAATTCAGCCTTCAACACTTCAACCTTTTTGACAACGAACGAAAAAAATATCATGGAAATACCTCATTTCCATCAAAGTCTCCTTTTCCAGCAGAGTGACTTAGCAGTAGAGCTCACTATATAAGTGAGATGAAGCCGACATACAACTCACCACAAGGGCACTCATTATTATGAAAGCAAGGTTTTGATATGAAACTAAGTGAGATGAAGCCGACATACAACTCACCACAAGTGAAAGCAAGGTTTTGATATGAGACGATGTCATGCTTCTTAAACATTAGCAACACCCCAAATCTTTCTCAAAGAAATAGAATCAAACTACCTACCATAAAATGAACTCATCACTAGCCAAAAATTGACTTGACCAAAGGGACTTAATGAATTAGTAAGTTGACATAAACTCAGCCCCAAATCTTGTACTTCTTGACGGATAGAGGTGGCAACTTTATCAACAACAATGAAGAATACATCCCTTCATCTAAAAGGGCGAGCCTTCCCTTACCTTCCTCAACACTCTCCACAATAATAGCAAATTGATCTTTAAGAACATTTTCATGTTCTCGCATAATAAAAAATAAATATCATAGCTTCACAACCTTAGCTACCAAATTCTCCAGTGAGTGGAGCGGAAACATCCTCTTGCAAGATTGTAAGTGGGAGCAACTCACCCTCAACATCCGCACTCTGCATCATCATTGGAGGGTCTCCCCAATGATCTTAGCAACATGCTCCCACTTATTATCTTCAAGTTGCCTCATTGATGACACCCTTAAAGTGTTCATTAAAAAGTCAACAAGTAAAGGCTCTAAAAAACTAAGACGTTAAGAATTTGATGCCACAAAATTTTTACCTAAGGATATAAGTTTAAAGCCAAATTAACGATAACATTAACATCTAATTTTGATGGTCGCTAATCCAAAAGCTTGCTTAAGCCATATGTACTTTATGTTCGCTTGGAACAACCAAAATAGAGCACCCTAAAGCTACATTCTATAGTTGAATCAAATTACCCATACCTCTGAGCGTGATTTGCTATTGCTTGGTTCATTCAATAGTGTCCAAAACACTCATTCGTCCTGCCTACGAGTAAGATAAAGATTTGTTAAAAAATATGACAATTCACATGTATTTTGATCATCCTGATCATGTGTTTATAACAAGTACGTCATCTATTGTTGTTTAGATCAATCCATAGCCTCTCTTGCCCAAAACTTTTATAAAGAGGTTAATTAGGAGAAAGTCGCACAACACTATACATCCTGACAAAGCAATAAAATCAATCACAAATTCAATAAAATCAATCACAAATTTTCTCTCTTCTTCTATTTCTCTCTTTACCCACTTTCTTCCTTCTCTTAGCCTAATGCTTGCTGGAAATCTTGCGAGTTATGTAAATAGGATTTAGTATCTCTAAACAAGTTCACTGCACACAAAAATAAATAAACTTATCATGCATGCCAACTTTAACAATAGCAAAGTTCAACAAATCTAAAGCAGGGGAAAAATTACCAGGTCGAAAGAATATCGATAAACCAAAGTCAATTGTCTTAAGAGGTGCCTCCTCAGAATTGTTAACAAAAAGAAAATTCTCTGGCTTCAGATCACGATGCATAACTCCCAAAGAGTGGCAGGCTTCCACAACACCAACAATCACTCTTGTAAGTTCTGCTGCCTTTCTCTCCGTAAAATGGCCCTTCTGAATTATTCTATCAAACAATTCACCACCAGCACACAATTCCATAACTACATGAACAGCCACAGCATCTTCATATGCCCCCTTAATAGAAATAACATTCGGCTGGCCTGACAGATGATGCATTATCTGAACTTCTCTTCTCACATCCTCCACGTCCTCTTCAGCAGTCAACTTCCTCTTTAAAATGGATTTGCATGCATATTTTTTATTAGTAGCCCTCTCCACACAAAGGTGTGTAGTTCCAAACTGGCCTTGACCGAGTTTGCGTCCTAAGCTATAAATGTCCTTCAAATTCTCTGTTTTATACCTCAACACAGATCCAGCTTGCAGTCCTGCACTGGAGACTCTCCTAACATGACGGTGTTTCCCTTTTTGCTTCTGTGGGGGCTGATCGGATGATGGTTTCACCTTTTCTTCTACAGATTTATGAGGATTGGGCTCAGTTTCTGGGATCTTATGGAGCTCCGGAGGTTCATTTTGAGGGGTTGATGGGGCTTCCGAAACAGAATCCATCTGTGCCGGTGAGCTCTCTTTGCTTGCAAGCCCATCTTTTCCCTGGGGAAGCAAATCATTTTGACCTTGCGCACGCCAGAAGCCTGCAGAAACAGATTGAAAGAGTCCATTCTTATAAAAGCTTGGACCAACACATGTATTCCCCATCGGCTTCAACTCTCAAATCTCTCTGAAAATCCCTCCAGTCCACCAACTGCATCGGATTCCTTCTTCCAGAGACGCATCCGCAGATATCTCAAAATGAATTCTGCAGTCAGATTAGCAAAATCTAACTTCTGTCACAGAATCAAAATCATTCGGCCGGCAACGGGGAAAATTTCAGTATACCGCCGAACCTAGGGTAGACGAACAAAAGGAAATCACATCCCGCTAAAATTCGAAAAATCTATCCATAAATAGAAAACCATAAGCAGAAAGCCTTAGAAAAGTTCCTTGTCAATCGAAGCGGAGGGCCCGAAAGGCAGTGGTTCTTCCAGTTCTTGAAAAAATATATAAAGAGAAGTAACAGAGACGGCGGATAAAATAATGAAGAGAGCAAGATAGGAACGTGCGAACAAAAAGCGGACGGCGCGGCGACAGGGGAGATGGGTACAACGGTCATTTTAACGGTCGGAAACGGTCTCGAAAATAAATATTTCTCGCCCATATTTATGGTGGAAACAAACGCGTTTATTAGGGTTTGCAAGAAGATGGTGAGCGGATGGAGTAGGGTATAAATCGATCGGAAATTGGGACGATGTCTTTGGGACCATTTTTTAGGGCTTGGACCGAAGTTGGAGATTTTGGCCCTATGTTCTGTGCAATCTGCTTGGTCTGGTATTGAATTCGATCTGACATTTTTGGGACCATTTTTAGGGTTTCACATTAAAGTCCTATGTCTATGCATGGCGCCTCCCGCATGAATAATTCAACCTACCAATTACAGAGTTAAATGGACTCTCGCTACAGGCATAGTTGTAAATAGGCCACTTGAAGACTTACTTATGTGGCCCACACTCCTTAAAGGCTTTGACCACTAATTTCACTAAACAAGCAGGCCCATCAATATCACATTTGTAGAAGGTAGAGTTGACTTTTTGACCAATTTGCTGAGTTCGCTCAACTGACATTCCTCGTACTCAATAAAAAATATCCTTAAAAGGTTGACGCATGTTCATGTCTATTCATGAGTTATCTAATAAATCCCGTGTCATCGTCCTTCATTGGCATATTATGTAAAAACCCGAAAAAAAATTGTGACTTACTTTTTTTTTTTTCTCTCCTGCAATCACACGATTATAGTCTTTCCTTCATTGTTATCGTCTTCCCATATATGTGATCTTTCCTTTTCTTTCTGTCATCTCCTACCGACTTCCTAATCTGCTCGATCACACCTCCTATTCGTGCTATAAGAGTGATGCTTGGGCTAGGGCATGAACAACTCCTCGCATCCTCTTGCAACCCTTTATTGAAACACTTTGATCTCCCTTCTCTCTTTTTCTCTCCCAATTTCGCTCAAAACTATTACTGTCGTGACCGAACCCCATGCAATGTTGTCGCGGTTGGAGCTAACAGAGAAGGAAACAATGGTATCACAACTTACAGAGACCGTCGAAACTCACTTCTATTGTTCGCTCCTACTTGAAATTGTTGAGGTTACCCTCTCACGCACTGCAGTTCCTCAGAATCTCAATTCATGGTAGAGGAGGAATGGGATTTAAGAAACGGAGGGTTAAAAGTTATCTTTTACTTGATTACTATGTTATTTTATATATAAATTTTCTTAATAAAATTTATTCAGAAATCTATTTTTCCACTTTATCAAAATATAACAAAACAAAGAAATCGTTTTAATTGTTAGTTAAATTTTAATTTGTTTTATAAATTCTTACTTTTACTAATAATTATAATAAAAAGATTAATAATGAAGTAAGAACAATAAAGATAATAATAGTAATAATCATAATAATGGACATCGATTAGATTATGCCTAAGTAATAACTGCATGATTAATCTTACCTTCTAATTGATGTATGATCCATAGTCAAATGTTGAATTCATAGAAGTATCACGTTTGTCGTCTCGAGATATGTAACTATTATTTATTATGGGATAAATATACTATTTCTAGTTTTGGGTGTTTGTCGGTACTATTTTGGTTTCGAGATATGTAACTATTATTTATTATGGGATAAATGTACTATTTCTAGTTTTGGGTGTTTGTCGGTACTAATTTGGTTGAGGAATTTTGGTTGAGGAGTTGCTCGTAAGAAGCTGCCGGTCACCGGAATCAAAATCTTGTCACCTGTTTCGAAAGGAAATTTTCATTTACATATAGATTTAAGTTTAGAAAAATATGAAATCAAATTGACCCCATATTTTTCATATTTTAAATAAAAGAGCGCTATACCTCAAACCTTGTATCTATCCCTAAGGATAACAAAGCTCGATTAAATAAACTAAAGATTATATGACATCCGTTTAAGTCTGCGAAACCATTTTTTGTGTTGACCGACAAACTTTCCTATTTAATACGAAGAATTAAATAGGGTTTATATTAAGTTGGGTTCAGAAATATTTCCTATAAGGGCAAGCCCCTATAGTTAATTACATCTTAAATGACCAAAGCCACCTAAGAAAATTTTTGATAAAAATTAGGAAATATTATCTTCAAGGATTTCAGAAGAATAGGACTGTTCAACGAGATCAGACAGAGAGGTGTGAAATGGGATTGGCTCAAGTTTGGAGCATTTTGTTTTTGGAATCCAAAGGAGGAAGAATTAGGGGATGTCATGGATCCAGAGGAGTACCTCAGTGACTTCCCAAACTATCATATTGTTTGACTTTAGTTTTACAGAGAAATGTTTAGGTGTTTCATCCTGCCAATTTTATTAATTTAGGACTTACATTCCTGTGAAATAATCACACAAGTGACCTGAAAGATGTGAGGGTTTAGGTCGCGGCGAACGACAACCTCGAAATCCTAAGCGAGTTAGGGTTTATATTATACAACAGAGCTCTACAAAGGCCTAAAGATGAGTTGATGATTTATGTTGCACTAGGAAGACAACCTCGAAATTCTATGACTTGTTATTTAATTCTAAGGAATGGTTTAGCTGGTGTAGACATGTTTTGCTATTGAAGATGGTCGTGCTACCCACCATGCTAGTTCCAAGCTCCTTGCCGTGACGAGTTTGAGTTTTCTAGGGTTTCAAGTTATGATGTCAAATCAAGTGGCCCTATGGTTGAAGTTCTTTAAATTTTTTGGGGGCATGTTAAAGTTGATTAG